CGACAACTTTTCGTGTAAATGAACATCTGACTAGTAAAAGACGGCAGAGTCTCATAAGTCCATCAGGGAGGCACAGAAGGGAAGTCCACAATGGACACGATTTAGATATTAAATGCATCTGGCCTTTGAAGAGCATATTTCTGCTCGGAAAGGGAAGCTTCATACATTCTTGCGCGTAACCCTAAAATAAACAGCAAGAACGAGTAATTTCTATAACGGATGATTTACGGCCGTTCTAATCATTCTGTGAGCTATAAGATTGTCCACCACTACTTAAGGGGATGCAAGTCCTCTGCACCGCTCAGTTTTACTGTCATCTGTGGATTTGGAAAGTGAGTTAGCATCTGCTGAGCTCTTTGGAACACTGGTGAGTCAACATATCAGCTTTGACCTAGCCGCATCATTGAGGAGGAGTCGAATGTGTGATGTGACAGAGGTGTTTGATAACATAAGCGCCTGGTAGGTAATTGACTCACTTTCAGACGTCTGAGGACGGCGTTAAGCCGAAACGTAAGCCAAATTAAAGTGTTCCTATAAAAACCTGTTACGGCATGAGAACATCAAGATCAAAACTCATGTTACAAATGTAAACAATTACATCTTTTGATCCTACATGTTTTCTACAGATCCAATTGCAACATGAAGCTTTCAAAATTATAAGTTGTTCTTGAGAAAATCATCAATCTATGATCATCGTACTTAAAGCATTAGACTAAGGATATTTACTTTGCTTGATCCAGTAGGTTTTCGTCTCGTTCATTGCCTTGTACAACTGTGAGATTAGGATTAAATACCCGTAGCATTTTATCCATCGAAGGCAGCTTCATCGCTATCACTCGATGATCGCACGAATCCAAAATACCTGCGATTGCAATCAAAAATGAGGGTAAACACAAGAAAGACCACAAAAAACGTTCGCGTACCTGCTTGTAGCACAGAAAGATTGGATTTACAGAATGTGGTCAGATGCCCCAAATCTGCATAGATGGCCACAGACGAAGGCCGCAAACTATCAGCCGTATCCTCAGCATCCGATGGAGGCATACGAATGCAGGAGTTCAATGAGGCATGGGAAAGCGGAAAGTCAATTGATTGCTCAGCAAGTTGATCCGCCTGTAAAGATCCTATGTTGATCTCATTGGCATGGAGTTTTTCGTGCAGTACGTTGAAGTGGCTACAGTTTTCCTTATAAAAGATAAGGTGGGTGCATTGATATGATGAATGCAGCTGCGGCGTGCTCTGGATGTTGAATATTTGCGCTTTATGAAGTAAGACACACTGATGAACTACTAGAAGAATGACTTATTCCTAAAAATGGTTTTGAATTTAAGTCCGTGTTACCATACTTGAGTTGTATGAGGAGTTTACCAATCCAAAATCTTGCAAATTAGGAGGCTTTAGATGCCTAGTTCATTATGGCTCAAAATATCCGGGCAAAACTAATGTTGAGTTCTCATCGGATAATGACGACCGACTCTCTGTTTCAACTAATCCTCAGATTCAAACAAATAACTTGACGTGGCAAGTGAGAAAATTGCTTCCGTTCAGGTCAGCCCGCCCCTAGGTCACTTCGCCCACATAGCAATTTCCTCCCTGCACCATCCGTATTTGGCCTCTCAAGAAATTGCTATCTAGCAAGAAGGGCAGTGCATGCAATCGTGTCGGGACCAAAGTTGAGAACTTGAAATCGCCTTCTGCCACTCGTCCTTGTCAATCCAAAGGAGGTCCGTAATCTCCGTTCTTTGTTGGAAATTTCACGATAATTGAAGTTGTTATTCACTGTTCAGCACACCAAAATGGTTAGAAAAGGTGGAAAGCCGAGAGTCGGAGATTTGCCCGGACATTGGCTAAGATTTTACTAGGAGCTTAGAATGAAAGTATTCGCTGTTTTTACTGATTCTCGCAGTCCTACAACAAGATCCTAGAGCGCCTTTTTAATCATTGCGCTAAGGAGAAACACCGATCCAACTTGAATAGAGAAAAAGCTTAAGTGTTATTCCAAATCTATTTGTAGAATCATGCTAATCCAGGACAATAATAGGCTACCTACCTGCAATGAGATGAGATGCATCCAAAGATCATAAAATTCTCTATCAGTGGTAAGTTTTTCCTCTATCCGAATGACATCTTCGCTATTAGCAGATATGTGACAGAATAAACGAATAACAGCGAAAATAATCGTAGCAAACATAGCACTGTTCATTAGCGAATCATAGCTGTCCGAGGCCCTGGAAAACAAACGAGATTTGTTGCGAGTTCCTAAGGCGAAAGGATATCACGCCTGGCGACGAGACATTTTACGACCGTTAGACGTAATTCCACCAGATTCAATGTCTTTGCATTGATGAGAAGACAACGAATTGGGCCAGAGATTAGTAGAAAAAGAATGTTTGATTCATATAAGCGTTAGAGTACAGGCAGTACATGTGGAACATTTTTAAAATCTCATTTGTCACGATTGCCGTCATATCGAAGATTAATAGGTTCGGCGAGGTGGCTAGACAGGTATCTCTACAAACAATAACAAACCTCACTCGGCGCTCGCGTAAGAATTAGCTCTCGTGAGTAGAATAAAAAATTGAAGTGGCTGCTCAGCAGTGATAATGGAGTATTAGTGCAGCAATATGATATTTCAATGTTCCTCGATTATCCAGAGTGAATTGAAGGTTTTATATTGACAAAAGTTAGAACAATCTAGATGCAACGAGCAATCTCTTCACATCTGACAATTTAAAAGATTTTGAAAGATGGAGAATAACTGGATAAACATATAAATAGCACAGTAAGTTTTCAAAAGTTGGAATTGAAATAAAAAATTATGAAGTCGAAAAAGTTGTGAGGCTGTTTTTGAACGCAAGGAACAGAGTTTTGTTTCAACAAGAAAGTAGATTGAGATTGATTAAAAAAGCATTCTCACTAACTGGTTCTCATTTTTCTTTATTGTATTGCTGTCGAATTTTTAATAAAAGTTTTCGCACATTAGCAGATTATTCTGCTAATAGTATTATTTTTGATTTTAACATTATTTAGCTTTCAAATCCGGCCAATCGTTGGGTCCTATCTGGCTGCTCGTTGTCGATTCAAATTCTTCATCTCAGCTTAATGTTTGAAGAGTCAATTGAAATTTTTTGCATTGTTATCGCATAGCCCAGGACACAAACTCTATTTTCGACACAACTCTAATAGATTTTACGAGGGGAGACGCAGAGGACTTGAAATGTTTTAAGTATTATTTTATGACGCCGTTAAAGTTCTTATTCTCCAATCACATCATGTTGGGCACATTGTTGCAAAGAGTGGGAAGACTGCGTCCAATTCTCATCGCGAGTCTCTTGAAATGACTTCATTAAGATGTATAAGCGACATATGCCCAATAAATCTAGAGCTACTTTTATTTGTTTTTTTTTTGTAAGAATGAGTTGGGGAGCAACAGTCCTTA